CATCTACTTTTGCAGATAGAAAAATGAATGCTCAAATGACAGTAAGAATCAGCTCAATGTGATGTACACCAATTTCATGACAAAAGTTAAAAACAACTTTGTATTAAAAATTCTCTATTGAATTCTTATCTGGTGAAAGGTGTGTATCACATAAAATCCAACAGACCTATCCTGAAAAACTGCAAACATTTCTTGGTAATTTTTTTGATTCAGATAAAATGAAAATTTCCTAGAAATTCTACTTACATTACGTACAATTAGTTGTCAAAAATAGGCATACATCCATTTGGTTCAAAAGGACACAGGTACGAAGGATTGGCAGGTAGACAAGTAATGATGCATAGTGCACTGTTTTCAGAAGATTTTTTTTTTTTTTTTGATTGATCGAAAGCATGAACTTAAAGAGAGAGAAAATGCATGTGACTTTCAAGGGACTTGTAATTTTGATTGAAGATAGAAGCTTTTCAGTTATAATAAACATTTCACACAAGAAAACAGTTGAAGGAAATTGACTGTTTGGTAAAGACCTTGTTGGTATTATTACTTTGGTCATGTCATGTTTAGTTATCATAGTTAGTTATGAAAACCGTGGCTAATATCGTCTCAGCCTCTTCAACAAATATACAAAATGTATATAGCACAAGGTTATTACAATCATGTGAACATCTCTTAAACTATCTCTTTAAGACACTTAAGAAACATTTCATTCTCTGTCGGTCTATGCATATGAGCGTTTCAGGACCTAATTGTCCTCTTAAAATATTCTCTAGACTAGATTTATTTTCCTTCCAACTCATGTGATACAGTCACACATAGTTATACATTTATTATTTCCTATCTGTACAATATACACAAATAATAGTGTTGTAGTTGCCTAGAGTAGTTTGTAGCATTCATTCTACATAGTTCAGGAGGCCTTTTTGCAACATGTCTATTCAGAAAGCTGAACCAAAGATATGTACTGTGTCATTAGTGCTATGCTGAAAATTCCCAAAACTTGAGCTTTAAGAAACAGAAAATAAGCCCTGAGCTTACAGTATATGAAGAAAGTAATGTCCACACTCCTGACTAGCAGAAACTTTCCTTTTGAATTGAACAAATTTTGTCTCTCTTCTTATTGTCTTCAAGAAAATCACAACACACTCAGCAGGCAATGTCTTGCAGTCACTTGTGGTCCTTCTAAGTTTATGTTTATGTCCAGGTAGAGCATGGACAATGTCTACAATGGCTCAAGAGGGTTTCATAGCTAATTCCAATGCACTATGAATTGAGGAATGGAAATGAACCTTATCTCCATTTTGTGAAACTTTAAAGTTCCTTCCAAATCACCAGCATATTTCACTATGGAGATTTATTCTAGAAAAGATTGGTGTAGTACATGGAAACACTGAAGGACTCTGATCTTCTATCCCTGGTAGAGTATCGAGGATGGGGGCCAGTTCTGAGATGCTTTGCTGTGCACTGGACAGAAAACTTCGCCGTACTGACTCAGGTATACCAAAGAATTTTCTCAGAATTGAGACTTAAAAGATATCTTCAATGCCCTCGAAGTTGCGCTCCCAGTAGCCTCCTTGGTAAATCCAATCCTCTTGGTTGGTGTGAGGATTAGGTTCCAAATTAAACCACCTGTTAGATGAACACATTGTCGACATTAAAAGACAACATTACTACTCATCGAAAAAATACATAAAGTTCCACAAAAACACAACAAAAAGGCGTACCTCGGTTTCCATTTTTCCTCCTTTTTAGAAGTAGTGGATTTGCGCTTTCGTGTTTCTCTTTGCTTCTCTTCTAGCCGAGTTTTTTCGGTAGCAGCACCTTCTACTTCACCCTCCTCTAGCTTTCGAATGTCAGGACGCAGCCTTCACACCAAGACAACAGAAAACAGAAATTTTAGTCAAAATCATGACTCTACAAAACTATCAAAACTATAGACAAGTAGCAGGACGCAAAAACGCTTGCTTAAGCATGAACAAAATTCTCGTACCTGCTGTCTGTGGGACAAATTTTTCCTTTCAGCTCCTGGTCTATTTCATTCAGTGCCATCGCAAAACGAGTAAAGTTATAGTACTGTAAGAGAAAGAGAAACCGTTGGCAGGAGGTATAAAAGAAAGCCTAGTTGCTAGTAGGGTAAGATGCCCTATGATGGCCACCTTAAGAATGGGCCTGCCCAATGATGGCCAACCCTTTTTCTTGTAATGTACACAACGATGTGAAGTAGTTTGGCTTATTATGCCCAAGGAGGGACCTTAATAGAACACTACTTCAAGGCCAAGATTGTAAAGTGACCAGATTGGCTGGAAATCGAGAAAAGTGGCCATCAATGGGACAGTGGCCACAACAGGGCACCTTACCCTATAAGATGATACGTTTTTTCACGTCCCTCTTTGCGGCCACACAAATTCTAAGGCCAGAGTCAGTTTAATTCGACCCAACTGTAGTCGATCTTTTTCGGGCAATATACAGGGTGGTGCGCA